TTGTCCAATTTCTTCCCTAACCCCTCACACCCTCTTTCCCCTGAGAATTCACTTTATTCTGTCCATCAGATTTTTTATTCACTTGATTTTTAGATTCACTTGTTGATAGATATGTATTTGTTGTTCATAATTTTTATCTTTACCTTTTTCTTCTTCTTCCGCTTCTTAAAGAACACCTTTTAGCATTTCATAAAATACTGGTTTGGTGGTGATGAACTCCTTTAGTTTTTTCCTGTCTGTGGAGCTCTTTATCTGACCTTCAATTCTAAATGATAGCTTTGCTGGATAGAATAATCTTGGTTGTAGGTTCTTGCTGTTCATCACTTTGAATATTTCTTGCCATTCCCTTCTGGCCTGCATAGTTAATCAGTTTATGCTATTCAATATATTTAACAAATTATGAGGTCATATGACACTGGTTCTTTTCTGATCAGGACACATACATGAGTTGCAGGCTCAATTTCCAGTGAGGGAGTGAAGTCATGCATGAGGCAACTCATCAGCAATTCTCTTTCATCATTGATATCTCTCTCTCTCTCTCTCTCTCTCTCTCTCTCTCTCTCTCTCTCTCTCTCTCTCTTCCTTCCAATCTCTAAAATCAATAAAAATATTTTAAACAAAGTACATACATATATACATAGGTCATGGACTAGAAGCAGTGGGAAACTAAAAACCGTGGAAGCATGGTAGGAAGATCAAATGTTGGAAATTGGGAACATTATAATAGAATCCCCAAGAAAAAGTAATGGTGTGCACAGCTTGTGGGGCTCAGTGGCTGGGCATGTACCCATCAACCAACATATCATTGGTTTGATTCCAGATCAAGGCACATACCCACTTTGGGGGCTCCATCTCTATAGAGGAAATGCTGGAAGAAGTTGGTCAATGATTCTCTATCATCGATGTTTCTTCCCCTCTAAAATTTCAATAAAGATTTTTCTAAAAATGAAGTGTTAAGATCATTTTGACTTAACAACAACAAAGTGATTGTGAGCCATCATGTTTTCTTCCAAGTCTTGTAAGCAAATCCATGCCTTTGTCTGTCTTTACACAGGATGTCCCAGCCATAACTTTTAGGAACCACCAGTACTTTTGAGACCCAATTTCAGTGTCAAACAGTACCTTATGTGTACATGTCAGCAATGATAATTCAGTTCTGGATGGTAGGCAAATGGTGGTAATGCAAGTCCAACCCTCTGTGACTTGGTCTTGGGCAACGTACAGTGATACACAGCTGCTGACAGCTATTATGGTAAGGTTTCATCAACGACTTCCATCTGTGGACTGCTTCTTTTCAGTCTTCATGGTTGGAGTAGTCTTGGCAATTCCTCTCTGTTGCCAGAATACAAATGGTCTTGGACTTGTTTTCTGAAAATATACAAACATATTATCGACCAAACGTTAATAAAGGAATATTTTCTACAAATCTGACTTGGGACCTCTTTCATATTTTGCCCAAATGATATTCCTCTGATTGTTTTCAAACCATGTATGTTTTTCATGTCATAGAATGACATATAAGATTGTGTCCGTGGCTTCGCTCAGTTGTCACTTCCAGTTGTGTCCTTTGAGAGCTAAGCAGTGGTGACAGAGTAGTGTGGCCAAAGGGAGATCTGGGGAGTCATAGCAGTGCATTTTTAGCGTGAGGCTTGTGCTTTCCAGAGAGAAGGTTGGGAATGGAGCCATGGGGAAGCACAGCAGTTTGTGAGGAGTGGGAGGCTTGAAGTGTGACAGCTGTAGACCTGAAGGTGTCACAGTCGTGTGTGGGCAGTGAGAACTATGTATTGACAGAGTGGAAAGTTTTCAGCTGGAATTTGCAGGGTTATATTGGCATGTGGAAGCCCTGTGCAAGCACATTGGATTGTGGACAGGGAACCCCCTGAATCGTCACAGTGAAGTGTTGGATGTAGGAAACCTGGATGGATTGAAATAGAAAGTGGACAGTAGAAGTCGAGAGGTTCACCAATGAAAGATGTGTGGCAAACGTGTATGTGTACTATGGGACCCCTATGGTTTGACAGTTGGAAGGGGGTATAGAAATTTCATCATCTTGGCAGAGGAAGACCTAGTGCTGTACAGTAATGAGAGTAGTCTGGAGCCCAAGAAGGTCAGACAGGGTTGTAGGAATTGGGTCTCCAAGAAGTCACAGAAAACTGTCGATGCCAGGCCGGTGGGGGACTCAGGCTGTGACAGAGCAGTGTAATCAGTGGAAGACCACGGGTGTCCAGTGCGGTGTCTGCAGGGGAGCACGGTGTGTGTCAGTGTGGAAGGTGGGCAATGTATCCCTGGGGTAGCACTGTGATGTGTTGGCAGTGAAATATCTCGGTGTCAGAGGGGATTATGGGCAGATAGGGCCCAACCTTGTGACTTAGAGCGATGGCATTGTCATCGCTGGAGCATTACAGTGGCGTTCTGGGCCTGGAAAACGCTTGCTGTCCTTGTGGAGGGTGGGGATTTGGAGCTTTGGTTTGAGGTTGAAGTGAGGGAATAGGGAGGAGTGTAGTGTGGGTAGTGGGCATCCTTGCATGTCACAGGGGATCATAGAGAGTCGGATCATTGCAGTGACAACATGATTGGAACATGGGCTACACTTTTGTGTCACATAGAAGTGTAGGCAATGGGAGCCGTACATTGCCACACTGGAATGTGTGCTGTGTGAGTGCTGAACGTGTCCTGGTATGTTTGGGCCATGTGACATCTGGGGGATCATAGTGTAGTGTGTATTAGGAGCCCAGCAGTCTCACAGAGGGTTGTTGGACACAAGGGACCCAATGTGTCACATGGTAGAGGGAGCAGTGACGGCACTCAGGTCAAAAGGTGTTGAGTTTCAGGGATACTGGGAGTGTCACAGTAAATATTAGAAGTTACAATCTATGGGTTCAAGGATAGATTCTGGCCTTGTGTTTTGTGGCTAAGTGTTTAGTGCAAGCCGATTCCTTGTTTTATAAATTGTGTCCAGAGGTCTTCTTCTCCATGACCTCTAAAGGAAAAACAGGGTGTTACAAGCAAAATAGTAGGTTTCACATGCTGCTGGTTGGATGGGCAAAGCTGAGAAGAGGGCCAGGGTTGGCTTTGGGGGAGAGGATTGGGAACCGGGCCTTTTTTTGCCTTGGAGTGTGGGCTGCTCTATGAGACAGACTTGGTGATATATGTACAGCTCCCTCAGCCAAAGACCATGAGTAGGACACCAGTGGTGGAGCAAATGTTGGTTTCTTTACTTTTTAAGAACATTTTAAAGAAATGTTGTTACTTTTTGATGAGAGAGAGAAAGAGAGAGAGAGAAAGAGAGAGAGAGACAGAGAGACAGAGACAGAGACAGAGAGAGATGTGACAGAAACATGGGTTGATTGCCTCCCAAAAGCACCCTGATCAGAGCCAGGGATTGAACGTGCAACCAGGTGTGTGCCCTTGACCAGGACTCCTTTGACCCAGAACGGAGCCCTCAGCTTTCCAATGCCTGACAGGATGCTCTAACTTACTGAGTCACACTGGTAGGGCCCCATTTGTATCTCAATGGGAGCTGGTCCGCCATTTACATGTAAAGAGATTATTGCTACTTAGATGTTCTTGTCAATGCTTGGGTTGCTGATTGCCTTAGGGTCCTCTGTTTTTCTTCCCACCCCTCTCCCCCCCTTTTTTTTTGTATGTCATCGCTCTCTTGTCCAACATCTTGAGGACTTTGTGCAGTGCTATGTTTGAATTCCTTTCTCTTATTTCTTGTGTACCTCCTGGTGTGTGGTTACCTGGACCCTTAACTTATGATAAATTACCAGCCTCCCCATAAAGTGGAGGTTGAAAATTCGGAGGAAAGGCCGAGATCGGTTTGGCTCAATGGATAGAGCGTCGACTTGGGAACTGAAGGGTCCCGGGTTGGATTCCGGTCAAGGGCAAGTACCTTGGTTGTGGGCATATCCCTAGTAGGGGGTGTGCAAGAGGCGGCTGATCGATGACTCCCTCTCATTGATGTTTCTAACTCTCTATCTCTCTCCCTTCCTCTCTGTACAAAATCAATAAAATATATTTTAAAAAAAGAAAGAAAATTCAAAGAAAAGGAAGATGGACAGACACACACACACACACCCCACTGCCCAAAGCGCCCGGAAGCTAAATCCCCACCTCACACCACACACGTTCACTGCTAGATGTATTAAAGGACAGTTTACAACCGGGAAAGCAGAGACAGTGGTGGACAGGGGGGTTTCTGTAGAGTTTTATGTCAATTTGAAAATAAACCACCTCGTCAAAATCATTTTTAACTTTTATTAATAAATTCATTCGGTTTTACAGCATCAGTTTGTCACAGATGAAACGGACAAACAGATATATAAAAAGGCAATGGGAAGCACTGAAATAGTCATTAAAATCCAGAAATTCTACCGACTGAAAAAAAAAATTCAGACCAGACAAATGTTTGTGACACTTCATTGCCAGGAAATAGAGTCAACTGCAGTTAATGAAGAAAAAGGAGCCCTATATGCATGCCATTATTACAATAAAAGGCCAAACACGTGAGGAGTCCTCCTGGTGTTCAATTTTGCCGCGAGAAGGGGGTCCATTGTGCGACTGCAGGGAATGCCATAGGAGAAGCACAAGGCAGCCAGGAGTCACAGATGTGCAGACAGGAAAGGCTATCCCAGTCCTCTGGGTGCAACGGCGCGCTGACAGGAGGAACATGGAGGCTGGGCCAGGTCCCTGGGAAAGTTCTGGCAGCAGTTCCTAATGGGGGCAGCCTGGGCGAGGGAGGTGCAGCCCTCAGGACTCCTGCCCCCCTGTCCACGACACCACGCGCATGCGCAGTTGGGGGCAACGTGGATGCTTAGAGCAACTGGCGGCCCACACGCACTGCCCAGCGCTTCTGGCGCCCGCCCAGCCTCGCGTGGCCACACACCCTGGTCGCCTAGGGGGCCGCGGCATCTGCAGGACTTGGCGGGGACAGAAGCCCTGGGAGACCTGGTAACTGGAACAGGTCCACGTCGCTGCCGCCCACAAAGTCATACATA